ATTAAGTTTAAAACTTTTTTATTTAATGTAAAATTATATTTTGTTTTAATTTACTTTCAAATTCTTCAGTTGCTGAATGGGCTGCATAGTTTTTATATATGTTATAGTTCAGAATAGCTATAATTGTACCAGATGGTTGCATTCAGTTAAGTTGGACTAGACTGTAATACAAACCATTCAGTTTGTCAACAATAAAACTGACTGAAATGAGAGACTGAGTGCGAGACTTTGATATTAGATAAAATGAATACTGATAAAGTTTACCTTTATGTACAGAATCTGAATATCGCAAAATATTTTAAAAAATTGCAATAATATCATATCGTGCGTTAAGTATTGTGATAATATCGTATTGTGGGATGTATGATGATTCCCACCTCTAATATATATATTAATATATTAATTAGGGGTGCAACGGTACACAAAATTCACGATTTGGTTTGATACTTTGGTGTCACGGTTCGATATTTTTTCGATACAAAAAAAAATGTTCATGCCTTTTTAATTTGTCATTTATTAAAATTAGAAATATATATTTTAACTCAAAAGTACAGTTTTTAAATTTAATGTTGCTGAAACAACAAAGGGATAAAATAATAAATCTATCTGATTGAGAAATCACTCATCTTTGGAAAAGAGAGTTTATTACAGAGAAATGGCTCTTTCCAAAATAAAAGCTATACTATACGCTTCTTCTGGGCTATATTCTCAGTAGCATATTAAACATATCAGGTCCCCATAAGGAGAATCATGTGCTAACGGCTGTCTAAATGACTCGGGTAAAGTTTGTAGCATGCGTACTTGTTGTTTTTGTCTGCTTCCACTTGTCTTTGCACTAGGATGATGTCGGAGTAAATGTGCAGTCATATTCGTTGTGTTCCCACTAGTGCTGTCAGCGTTAATCTCGTTGAAATGACGTTAACGCCACAACACGGAGAAATCTCCGTTATCGAGCTACTGCGGATCGCCCCGTGCGTGGGGCTGGATGGCCAACACGTTAACGAGCTAACTGCGCTAACACACTAGTTCCCACCAATGTAACTGAGCATTGTGTGGCACATCCAACATACTGTTTTACTTTAGTCCATGACGCGCTTACCTTCAGGGTCATACGTCACATGAAAACCAAAATAGTTCCAAACGCCACATCTGAATGAGGGTGGGGGAGGTTCAATTTGCCATGTTGCAAGGAGAGCTTAACTTCTGTCTCGCTAACTTGCCATGCGCTCAGTGAATCTGCGTTCGACTACTCCGCCTAGGCTGCACTGTCGAGCGCAGATCCACTGAGTGCTCAACACAGACAGCATCATCAGAAGGAAAGTTGATAAAATAAATTAAAAATTTTGTATTGTTCGACACATATGCGTACCGAACCGAAAGCACTGTATCGAACGGTTCAATATCGATACGAGTATCGTTGCACCCCTAATATATATATATATATATATATATATAGATATATATATATATATATATATATATATATATACACAGTGGGGCAAAAAAGTATTTAGTCAGCCACCGATTGTGCAAGTTCCCCCACTTAAAATGATGACAGAGGTCAGTAATTTGCACCAGAGGTACACTTCAACTGTGAGAGACAGAATGTGAAAAAAAAATCCATGAATTCACATGGTAGGATTTGTAAAGAATTTATTCGTAAATTAGGGTGGAAAATAAGTTACTCAAGATTTTGCTAATTAGCATTCGGGCATTTTTCAAAGCACACATGGGAAATCAAAGTATTGTACAAACTGAAGATTTGAGCTGTTGATGCCAATAAGTGACAAGGTAGAGGTTTGCCAAAGTAGCATAGTTTGTCCGGAGTAGGATCTTAAAATCTGAAGCAAATCAGCGAGCCATGTAACAGCTGAGATACTTTACTTAAAAAATGATTCTACTCACTCAGAGTCTAAGTACCACATGAGACGTCCATCCATTCATTAATGTCTCTTAATGTCTTTAAACACTTATCCACTTCAGGGTCAGTGGGGGCTGGAGTCTATCTCAGGGGACAATGGTCAACAGGCAGGGTACACTCTCGACAGGCTGCCAGTGGTCACAGGCCTAAAAAAGAGATAAAGAAAATCATTCACACCTTTGGCCAATTTAGAATTACCACTTAACCTAACAAGCATATCTTTAGACTGTGGGAGGAAGCCCGAGCACCCAGAGAGAAATTTTCACATTTATACTGCAGGAGCCACTTCTATTATCATTGTGCATTACAGGCAAAAAATACCACTCAGTTTTCATTGAGAGCTGGTACTTCTAATACTCTTAATACTCTTTTTTATGATCTCACTGTATTGGACAGACTTTATCTCATTGTTAGTGTCATCCATCCATTCCCTTCTGCTTATCTTTAGAAGGGTCACGGGTGTGCTGGACCCTAACCTAGCTTCCATAGGGCAAAAGGTGGGGTACAACCTGGTATGGTCGCGAATCTAACACAGGGCTGACACAGAGAGACAGACTGTTAGTTTGCTGTCATTTCAACGAGATTAATGCTGTTTAATTCTTGTTGGCCATTAGCTGAGGTGCTGCATTGTATCCTGGAAGGACCAGGAAAAACAAGGGGAAGTAAATATTTTTTAGACAAAAAATCCGAGTCCGAGTAAAGTCACAAGTCTGAAACTTTGAATTTCAAGTCCTTTCGAGTCTTTAAAAAAAAAAAAAAAAAAACGAAGAATGTTGCAGTTATATGCTAAATGTAAATATTAGACCATGTCATTTTTAAATCTGTGTTTTTTCTCAACACATGACGAAATAGTGAACTTAGAAAATATACGCAAATTGTGAAATTGCACCTCTATAAAATGCAGCTCAATTAAACTTAGCTCCAAGAATAATTTTCACCGACAGTTCTGAGATACGCTGCATGGTATTCTTGGATGCGCTTGTAGGGCCAGCTTTAAAATCGCATGACAAAAATATCATACACATTAAAAAAAACTGTATCACCAACATAGCCTGGACAAGATTTGCTTGTTAGATGAAGTCATGATCTCATCGTAGCAAGAGAGAAGCACCACCTACCGTTCTTTATGCAACTTCAACTGTCAGAGAAAGTTGGAAGTTGTTCCATCTCTGTCTGTGATTCTCTTCTTGCATCTTTTGCAAATTGCATTTCAGTTTTTTGTTGACTACTTCATAGTTTATGTACCTGAAAAAAATAACTCCTTGCAGCATTTTTGAGCGTTTTTTTAAAAAAAATCTGGTTAATTTGATTGACTGTGCTACAGCTCACGCACACATACGTACGGAGTGTGGTTTGAATAAATGAATCAATGAATTGAATTAATGGTGCACACTTTCTATATAATATGTATGTTAAATTTTATATTTGGGGTGAAATATCAAGTCTTTTCAAGTAAACCGGTTCAAGTCCAATTCAAGTCCCAGGTCATTGGTGTAAAAGTCCAAGTCAAGTCACAAGTCTTAGAACATTTTTTCAAGTCAAGTCTAAAGTCATAAAATTAATGACTCAAGTCTGACTCGAGTCCAAGTCATGTGACTCGAGTCCACATCTCTGATAACTAGTCTAAACTAAAACATTGGGTCACTTTGTCAGACTATACGTCAGACTATACAACTTAGCTAACTGGCAAATCAGTAAATGTTAACCCTAAAATAATTTCACATCCAAAGTTATATGAATGCTTTATTTTTGTTTTGAACACATATCATAGTGTTATTTTCCTTCAAAATTTCAGCTTGTCTCAACGTCATAAATGGCCTGTTTAATGGATTCCTGAATGCTGCAAAGCTGAGAAAACAACACTGATCACTTCATTGGAGCTGAAAGAATGTGGACTACTTTTAGCTCCCACTGGTGCTTTGGTCCTTCTTTGTTCATGAGAATAGAAGCAGCATTTGGGCCCATAAATTCCCAGTTATATCAAGTTAGAAAAAGCGGATAGCAGTGGAAGCCCCATGGAAAATAAATTTTTTTTAAAATTCACTTTATGTTGAAACCAGGTCACCACGTATGGAGTTAAGACGAAAATCCATAGAGAATATTGAATGAAACACAAGATTAATTTTTAATTTAACATTTGTTCACTAACATGAACCATCCATCCATGTATTTTACTTCTGATTATTCAAAGTTGCATCCTGGTTGAAGAAACATCCTATTCCCCAGCAATCCTTTACAGTTTCTCTTGGAGTATCCTCAAGACACTTCTGGGTCAGATGAGGCAGTCCTGGTCTACCATTAGTCATCGCAATGGCTCTGCTGTCAAACAATCAGAGATTGTCTTCTGTTTTTTTGGTTTTTTTTAATCATTCTACAATGCATCTTTTGTCCTGTCTTACCCCCATCACTCCAACCGGTCACGGCAGATGGCTGCCCCTCCCTGAGCCTGGTTCTGCCAGATGTTTCTTGAGGTTAAAAGGGAGCTTTTCCTTCTCACTGTTGCCAAGCACTTCCTCATTGTTGGGATTTTTCCTCTATTATTGTAGAGTTTACCATAGAATGTAAAGCGCCTTGACTGCCAACTGTTTTGGAGATTTGAGCCCCAGCAACCCCGGTATCGGGAGGGGAGGGGGCACAAGGGGCGAGATTCCGTAATAGGCTGTAACTTGAAGTCGTATCCATAGAAACCTCTGAATCTCACCTAAACCTCATATAAACCATTTCTACAACCACCAAACACACACGCAACCAGTTTTTGCTTTGTGCAATCGTTTCAAATGTTGTTGCCAAGCAAAATAACCCAAGATCCTATGTACCGCCTGGAAATGCTATTAATTGCCATGGTAACCAGAGCTGCTCCAGGAAACACTGTGGAGCTGTTCTGACTTTAAGGGTGTTAGTCTTTCTCTTCTAGGTGAACGATGAAGTGAATGATGACGACTGTTGTTTGCAACTTGACTATATATTTGATTCTGGGGTCTGACTATGTTGCAGGTTTACACTTCAGGATGAAAAAACTTGACAAATGTTACATTCATCTACAATATGTGCTCACTTTTATTCCTTCTGGCTTTTGCAGAGAAACCAACAGTCATAGATGTGGGCATCTATATCAACAGCATCGGCCCTGTGTCATCCATTGATATGGTGAGTTATGGCTTTATCTCCATCGTCTGCCCCATCTGCACACAAACACATTTGTCCACTGCCCGATATTAGCATCATCAGACACGAAAGCTGTCATTCCTCATGCTGTATTTGGAGGCCACGTGGCCCATCACAGCTGTTTGTGTTGCGGCAGAAGCCAAGAAAGACAGGTGTGGACACTCTTTTTGTTTCCCTATGTCCTATGAATAAGCTTGAATTCATCAAGTTGGTGAGTTTAAAATTGCTGCTATGAAAGTATTCTGCTATTCAATTAGACAGCAGTTTGGGTCTCAGTAGAGATGAGCCTCATTTTATTCCAGTTTTCTTCATTTAGTTACTGCATCTTTTTGACTGGCATGAAAATCACAAGAACAAAGTTCAACTGTGAGGGGCAAAAATGGGTTTGGAGAAAGACCAGGACATGGATCAATGGCTTTTTCATAATGGAGGGTCTGATCAGATTCAATAAAACATATGAAGAGCTGAAGCTGAAAGGTTGATGAGCAGTAATGAGAAAATAGCTACTTTTCAGACAACTAAACGCATAAGCAGTCTGTTATTTGGCCTTCAGTGGAGTGCAGCAGACTAAATGGAAGCAACCTCCTATTATTTTGAATCCAAAGGGTCTGTTCTGCCGCTGTCAATAGAGTCAGATATGCATATTTTTCTCCTTTAATTTCTGTCTTCCAATATAAAAAATGTATTGGTTTACAAACAGACTAAATGATGAAAGTACTTCATCTGAACCTGCTCAGTCACAATATGCTTACCTGGAGCAGTTGACTGGCGGTGTAAAATATTCCCAATTATAAAACAGATGCAGCCTTTTTGTATTCAAGCCCAATGGACTACATTTTAAAAGACTGCACTGTACAAAGTTGTTTTAAGTCTACCTATTACACTTTCACTGTGGACTCCCACAGCAGAGGATGTTTAGGTTTTCTCTGAAAGTGAAAGCGGATAAATTCAATTTGGGATGCAAAATGGTGTTGCTGAACTCACAGTTCATTAAGTTGATTTTCTACTTTGTACTCCAAGGAGCCGGCAGGACTCGCACAGTCATTTTGAAAGATAGTCTTTGGAACTATTACTAAGGTTACCAAACTGTGACCAAACCAAATGCCAGCTAGGGCCAGTGTTTGACACTTCTTGTCTCGGTTGATTTGCTAACACTTCTGCTTGGTGTGTTAATGCAACTGAAATGGGGAGGAAACAAGAGCGCCTAATTTGTCACGAACAGTACAGAGAAGCACCTAATGCAACATATTACGGCTCAGCCAAACACATGCCCACTGTTTTGACAAAGAGGTTAGTCTACAGTAAGCCTTTTTTGTCATTGTATAATCCATAGCTATGTTATTTTCCTCTGCCTTCTTCACAGTAAAAGCCAACCTGTATTTCAGCAGATGAACTCTTTTAATATATAACCCTCTGAAGTTCCCTTTTTAAAAGGCACAATTCAGTTAAATATAGCTCCAATATAGAGCGTTAAACTGATGGGCTGCCTGTAGAGTTTATAGCTATTGGTAATTTCCAACCCCAGATGATGGCCAGTAACTGAAAAATCTAACTACATGTTGGGTCGACCAAGCCTGCAATGAGTGAATGGCATGGAAGGTTAAAATGAGTTTCTGGTTATGCTGTAGATTTCTTGCAGAAGTCTAAATCAGGTATTAGTGTTTGGAGAGAAGGACCATTAAGTACGTTTTGATGTGTGTCAGACTATTTATTTGTGCAGCAGATTTTAATTGACTAAAACTAAGAGACGACATTTTTGGCTTTTGACTTTAGTAGAATCCAAGTCTCCAAGTTTCTAAATGTTGTCCATTTATCCATTTTCTTCCACTTATCCAATTGGGATTGGGGGTGGAGCTTATCCAGTCTGTTGCTGTGCTACCACAGAGATGCAGACAGCCATTCAGAATAACCCAAATAAACAACATGCAAACTCCACCCATGAAATGCAAAGCCAGCATTTACAATTCTTCCTTGTATATGTTGTGCTTTCAATGTTGCTGTGTCCTAATTCCATGGATTTCCTCTGGCATCTTTTCACAATCCAAAGACATTCATATCAGGTCAGTTGTTGATTCTAAATTGGTTGTATGTATGGATGTGAGACTGTGTGGTGGTTGGCTGTATCCCTGTGTTTCTGTAATGAAATAACACCTGGCGAGGGTGTACCCTGCCTCGCTCACACCCTATAACAGTAAAGATGCGCCCCAACGCTCCAGCGCCCCGGTAACCCAACGTTTATGGATGGCTTGTATTCTGGGACCTGTGCTACAAAAGGACTTCAACATACCCCAGATATCTTTTCCTTACCCTGCTTCTCTAACCTTACATATTATCACCAGTCAGGCTGATGTTGATGGTGGCTATCAGACAATATAAAACAGGCAGAAATTTAACCAAAAACAGTTTTAAAAAGGTGAGTTTTGAGTTGTTTTTTAAAAATAACTACCGAGTCCACAGCTCTTAATGTATGAGGGAGAGAGTTCCACGGTCTCGGGGCCACAGTGGCAAAAGCTCTGTCACCCTTAGTTCTCATCTTAGTCTGTTTTATAGCAAGTAAGCCCTGATCAGATGACCTTAGGGACCTGCTAGGGACAAAGGGCTGTAGCAGATCGGAGATGTAGGGAGGTGTCAGTCCATGCAAGGCTCTAAATGTCAAGACCAGGATCTTAAAATGTACTCTAAATTCAACAGGAAGCCAGTGTAGCTGAAATAGCAATGGTGTCACATGTGAATACTTGGAGGATTTTGTCAACAGCCTAGCTGCAGCGTTTTGCACAACCTGCAGATGATCCAGAGGACCTTTGCTTAGACACATAAACAAAGAGTTACAATAGTCCAAGCATGAGGAAATAAATGCATGTATAGCAATCTCCAGTTCAGGGTGAGATAAAATAGGGCTTAACTTAGCCACATTTCTTAAATGATAAAAACAAGAGCGAACCAGAGGTTTCACATGCCCATCCAATGTGAGAGTTGAGTCAAAAGTGACACCTAAATTCCTGATAGAGGATTTAACATAAACAGAAAGAGGACCAAGGGCTTTCACTATCTGGGATACTAATCTGTCCGGAGCACACAGTTTTGAATGGATTGAGTTGGAGGAAAACAACCATTTCCCTATCTATGAGTGTATTTATATGAATGAGGAAGTGTTTGCAAATGCTGACAGGACTAGTAGCATTAGTATATTTTTATTGAAAGACAAAACTACAGTATTAGAGAATAAAAATAAATTATAAATAAAATATAAGGAAAGCTGACCAAAACACTGACTGTGTCAGTTAATAAACTAATCAGTATCACAGCTCTATCATTAAGATGTGTGAAGTCCTGACTTATAATTACAATTGTGTATTCCAATAAATGAACTGGCTACATTGATTAGATGTGCATGAGCAATCTGAGCCTTATTCTTTCAGCTGCAGCCCCGGTGGTGTTCAACAAGCTAAGAGGAAGCAAAGAAGAGAAGTAAGTTCACAGCGGCAAGCAGGCTTACTTGGGTGCTCAGTCTTTGGATTGTTTCACTGTATTCAGACGCGCATAACAATACAATTGATTGAAGCCAACAATGAAAAACAAATTCATATTGATCCTAAGTGGGGGCACACAGACTTTAGACACTACAATCCACAGAAACATCCTAGAATGGCTTCTGAATTGTTGTTGTTGTTTTTTCTTTGTGTTGTGATTTTGGGTCTCGGGCCTACCATACCCTAGTTACCAGGACTTTGGAGAACATCTTTTAGCAGTCAAACCTGACGTCTTTTGATACCATAGGTTTCATTGATGAAGGGCCAGAGCAGCGTGAGGTAACTGAGGAAGTCCGCTCTGACAGCTCTACTTTTCACTCTGTGAAAAGCGATCACTCTATTGAGATGGATGTTATAAATAATTTCTTGTAAGTAATTATAATCAAGCATGAGACTGGCACTTAAAAATGCAATAGAACAAGAGTTTTAAATGCACTGAATGCATTTAATGTATATCAGAGGAAACAAAAAACATAAAGTGAAATCTTAATAATTGTAACTTTGTGTTAAACATCTCATGAGAATCCTGTTCTGGACTGTACAGCGCTGTTCCTTTACAAGTATCCACCCACCTACATGTTGTAATTAGCATAATAGAAGCTAATGTATGGCAAACTGATCATTATTCTAACAGAAGCCCCTTCAGGGTGATTCAGCAGTTAAATCAGAGATTCTTGATAACACTGAAGGGGCGACATGAGTACAAAATGCATCAATCAAGTGACACTACTTAAAACAAGTCAACAAAAAAAACTAAAAAATGCTTTTGTTACAAACTAAATTAAACCAAAGTAGGAAGAAAAAGGAGTGAGAAAAATCTCTGTGGTGAAAGAAGAGATGAGACACCCTAAATGTAAAGTCTGGAAAAAAAAAAAATTGTGGCACTGGCCACGCCCCCAAGTTTGCTGCCCCCTAGTGGCCCCCTCTGACAAGATTGTTGTAAGTTGGTAATAATGTAATAATCATAAGAATCAGTAAAGCAATGTTTTTTTTTTAAAAACAGATTATTATGGATTTCAAAATTATAAATATTATTTGTTTTTCGTATGTGCCTATTTTACATGATATCAATTTTAATTTGAAATTAATGGTGCATATAATTCTTTTTTTTCTTCTAGTAACCTAAATCTAACAAGAGCATAATAAAACTAGAAATTCTGTTTTGGTGTGTCACCCCAATATTTTTAGTATACTGTTAAATACATCCCAGTTTTTGTTTTTGTTTTTTGTTCTTTTTCTTATGTTAAAATGAAATGTGTAGTTAAAATTCTTTATACTGCTAGAAAGAGGAAATAAGCTGTATGAGAAAATGAATTTGATGTCCCTAATTGTGGTATAATTTGTTAACTGGTTGCTAAGCCCGAACACATCAGATACTTTTTTAAAAAAAAATGTATTTATACAGCACCAAATCACAACAACAGTTGCCTCAAAGTGCTTTAGATTGTACGG